TTTCATAACTAATCAATACTCAAAGCCAAGACACTGTTCATTTTGTAGAGAAATGTTTAATGTACTTAATTATGTAGTGGCACTTTTAGATTAGTTTGTTGCTTTACTGCAATAATCTTTTCAAAAAAAGCGAGAAAAGGTTACCGTTAGCTGGATAAGCCGTTAAGTTGTACTGAATTAGGGATGATCTATTTACGCACAGACAGCACTTTAGCAGTAAGAAGTCTCAATTTATCAAATCCTAGTGGAAGCAATGAAACCGTTCGCCGGTGAAACCATATATAAGGTAATAATCATTTGGTACTTCCATAAGAGATTTTAGAAACGATCTTCGAGAATAATCAGGTTATTGGCAAATCTTACACCTTTTGTAACATAAATAAGCTTTCGGGTGTTTCAACTTCAATTTAGACTTAAGATCATAGTGTGATGTAACAGAAATGGAAATAACATGTAAACAAAGAACAGATAAACTGAGTAAATTAGTAAAAAGAATGGATGTTTTAATACGTCATCTTAATGAACGAAGACATTTTCGGTCAAGTTTTAAATCATTCATAACAACTTTGATCTCTAGAAACAATGGAAAATTTAAACACTGATAGCCACGATTCAACTGATGAAATGGAAAATAAAAAGTTGTGTTCTAATTGTAAAACATTATATAACTCTCGAAAGAAAAAATGCCGCAAAACTTTGCAAAGTGGAAAAACTTTGAGCATGTGATTGATCAATTAAAAAAATAAAAATAAAGGTATCCGAAAAAATTACTACTAAGAAACGAATTTTGTACTTGTAATAAATGGTTAGGATAATGGATCAAGATGATCAGATGAATCAACAGTTACGTCTAGAATAATGGATACATTCACAAATATATTTTATTTAACATTTTTATTGCAAATTGACAAAAACCTTAAAGTGTCTGCACTAGTTTTTCTTTTTCAAGAAACGAATGCTATTTTTCACATATGTTTTTCCCTTATTCACTTGGCTTTTGGCCATTTTTCCACTTATGACGTAGTGTCAACAAGTTGAAGTTGCACATTTTTATTATTCTTGTTTACGTCGGGTCTATGGAGCTTTCTATTGGAATTGTATAGTTTTTTCCATCATATACGATGAACGGCCTTTCGAAAACAGATGTTTCTAGTGGTGAATAGTGTGAATAAGTTAATCATAGTCAACTGATATGTAGGAAAACAGCTTGCTTAAAATGAAAGAACTTGTTTGTTTTTAGAAACCATAAACATGGTTATAGATAATGCGGTGAATAACTTTAGAAACACATTGAAGCAGCGGTAATGAGACGACAACTGGCAGGATGTTTCATTACGTATATTTTAATGATGTAGATTATATAACAGCTGCAATGGGTACTCTCACATAACGTTCGTACTTCTAAATGGTTGAGAAGACGAGAGAACAGAGAAAAATATGATCCAGGTGAATCCAAGACACATATTATTATAACAGGCAATAGTCATACTGGTGAATCTTCTTCCATGGAAGTTTTTTGTGGTTTAAACAATAATCAGCTAGATTGTTCGGCAAAATCCAACCCTTCACTTCCTCGTAGTGCCGAATGGAAACGCCTTTGACGGCTAAGATGGGCTCTGGTAAAGCTTTTCAGGACCAGTCACCCGAATCGCGTTCCAAATGACTCCGAAAACAATAATCGAAGAACCCATTCCGGGCGACCACAACTCGTTTTGTCGCCCGCATGCAAGGAACTTAAACAACTCCAAGCATATGAAAGAGCAGCCATCTGCTCTCGACAATGCAGCGGCAAATCGAACAAAAAGAAAAAAAGAAACAGCTAGATCTACTGTTGTTGATGAAACTGAAGCAACAATTAAATTGCAATTATTAAAAAGTACGTATGTAATAAATGCACGACAAACCAATTTATTCGAATATAAAAATTAAAAACGATAATTAGAAACGAAATCAAAAAACAGAATTATCAAACAAAGCCTCCATTTCGCATATTAAACATATCGAAATTTGTTACATTTTTTTCGTGTCATTATTTATTCCTATACAGAATTTTATACAAGTGTTTTCGTGAGACATAAAAAAAGTTTTTAGTCAGATAATTGTAACTAAAGCAACAAAAGAACATATTCCTATTTTTAATCTAACTTTTGTTCTGTTTATGTAGTTCAGCTATGATCATATCTCTGGCTATTCTTTCACGGCTCGCTTGCTCTACTACTACTGGATTTCTTTTCTCTTGAAATCTCTTTCTTGCTCTTGTTGACTGCCATGGTTTAAATCCATACAGTTTTTCTCCTAGTTCAGTGAGTTGAAACGTAGCAGGTAAATCTTCTTTTGTCAACGGAAATGAACGCAAAGCTTCATCTGCAACTGGTGCCATGTGCATATATTGAACAATTCTCATTCGATTAGAATTGTTTGGAAAATTTCCATGTGGCAATCGACTATCCCATACCAGTAAACTTCCTTTTCGAATCGGCATTCGTTGAATATGTTTTCGAATAGGATCATTCTTAGGAATTTGTATAGTAGTGGGATCTCCACCTTGATTTGCATCTAAACATACTTGCTGATTCTGTGAAGTCCATGTTGAAATAAAATTCTGGAATCCAGGCACTGCGTGAAATCCACCATCTTCTTCTCGACAATCAGCTAACGCTACTATTCCTTGTAACTTTCTTACTCGCATGCCGTTATTTGTCGGTACATTTTGTGCCATGAGCGGATTTTTGGATGCATCGAAATGACCTTCGGCAACGTGTTCAAATCCGTAAGTTGTCGATCGACCTGTCAACGGGTTCATGTCCAAATGAAGCCATTCTGATACTGTTTTCCAGTTTTCTCTATCCTCCGTTTTGTTGAGCGATGGAAAGAATATATCTTTCGTCGGTCGCATTAAACCAGCTCGTGTAATATTCACAATCAATTCACTATCGCCCAACAATGTTTGAAATACTTGGTAAATATTTGCATTTTGTCGATTATCACACGCTTGAGGATATAACCAAGGAGTATCCCCAAGTATGCCCAGTTTCGAAAAACTTGGCCACCTATAACTCCAACTCTCTGGCTTATCTCGCTGAATATCCGGATTGAACAGCTCTTGTAAGAATGTCCACACGTCATCTATGCTACGCTCGCATTGTTCATTCGTCAATACATTCGATACAACGACTACTCCGTGTCTTTCGAAAAATTTTAAAATTTCTTCCTGTTGTTCAATAGTAAAAGCAACGATAAATCCATCTGAATCAATTGGCAGTGAAGCAGGTTCAAATACTTCATCATCACCTGCTGATAAATGAATTTCTGGTAGCTTAACTAAATTTCTCTCCAGAGTACTACCCATGTCGAGTCTGATGATGATGAGAATTATTTCAAGTTACCTGAAAAGCAGTTATGTGACAAAAATAGGTTCATTGCAGTAGAATTCATGTTGAATTAATACTCACTAGTAGTTCAAACCCGAACGTTTTTAATGGTGTGGGTATATAAGCGTAAGTAGAAAGCTTTTGAAGTCGCAAAGAGTTTAATAATTCACACCTTTAATGCTAGATGCCATATTTTACTTTTGAAACTATTAGTTAGTTCGATTTGGACGAAGTTTTAGCAGATGGCAAGGGGGCGAATTAAAAACCTGGGATTTGGAAAATTATCACACCCTGAGGAAATATATATTTTTCGCCTCTTAGATCTCACCTTCTTGCATTTTAAGATTATATATTTATCAAGTAAAACAAAGATGAATGGCAAGAATACATGCGCTGGGAAATATATCATTATTGAGAATTTGAAGAAATGCCTATACTATAGAAATTCGAGGCGAAACTTAATACGTGTTCAAGTGATACACCGACATTTCCGCGGACGACATCAAACCTGAGTAAAGTTAAGTGGTGAAGAGGCATTATGTGACACAGTTACAGATATAAAGTTTCAGATCATGAAAATATATTTTCTGTACAACTATTTTTCGACCTCACTTTCACATTGCCAGCATCCCCACCTCCCGTGACACTGCCCAAAATATCCAGGTGTGTACTGTGAAAAGTTCGTGGAAGAGTCGAGGTCCTGTTCGCGAAGATGTCGTGTCACGGGTTCCGCACTGCTATAAAAATCTTGATTATATACAATCAATGCTGATAAACAGAGAGCTACAGTTTACCGTGTACCGAAGAGAAAACCGGTCAGACACGATAAGCAAAGAAACTGGATATCTGTAGCTATGTCGCATAATGACTATTAACCACATAAATTCACTCAGATTTCAAAACATGATATACAAAATACAAAACCAGGCTTATTTATTCTTCTTTTTCAATAAACAAGTCTTCGCGGTCAGATCGGAGCGGATTTACTAGGAATTTTGCACCTCTACCCAATTTTTATCTAATTTGGTTCAGCGAGGAGCAATTACAATGTTTTCTAATATGTGAGAATGATCAATTTTAATCTTCTTGTAAGTTAGAAAGAAATATTATTTCGAATTGAAAATTTTATCATAAAAAGAGTTTATGAGCTACGTAGTGAAGCAATCCTAGCGTCCAGACGTCGCAGCGTCTTTTCTTAGCTCACGACTACTTCTTATAAGCTTGACTGAAAGATGAAAAGAAAAGAAGTAACTTGTTAATTAATCCATCACATCCGTTTTGTCTGTTCACAAGAGAAAAGCTTGCAATTGTAAATATAGCTAAAATAAGATTATACACTCGGAGAAGGGAGCATACTATACGCCAACCAAAAGAAAAAAACAAATTAAGAACAAAACGAAAAGAAGTTAAAATCAAAAAGAGAAAAAGAGAAAAAAAGTGAAAGCGGGAGAACTATAACACCTGGAAAGAAAGAAGAAAAAGTGATAGTGAAAAAAGTGTTAGACACATTTTATATAGACTATGTCACAATCGAGATATATAACTGACAAATATTATAGAAATCTATATTCTCCAGTTTTTGAAGGAAAGCACATAATGACTAAGACGCACATGTGGCATTTTCCTTTTAGAAAAATGCAACCTGAAATTTCAGCTTTTTTTGGCATTTTGCATCCTGAACTGCAGAAAAGACTGATTTTGCATTCTGAAATGTAAAAAACAGTGATTTTTCATCCGGAGATGCAAAAATAACTGACTTTGCATTCTAGAATCCAAAACGAGATTAATTTGCATCTCGAAAAGTGATATTGGCGTTTCTGAAAGCAAAAGCTGCATTTTCTTGCACTTAGAAATTCACATAATTACAGTTTATGCAGGTTCACATTTTATAGGCCTTTTAGATATTTAGATATTTACAGTTTGTGCAGGTTCACATTTTGTAGACTAGTTAGATATTTAGATATCTACCGGGTGGTACGGCGTGGGGGCTGGGGGAGGGAAGCATGAGAGTGAGTTACGAAATATGAGTTCTGGTTCTGAGGGCTTGGTAGGTTACTTGACTAGGGTGGGAGGTATTCGTCAGTGGTAGTGAGTTCACCAGGCTTAGAGAGGGCGGGTAAAGCTACTGACAGCCCGAGATGTAATTTAGAGCACTTGATTCAGTTTTTCTTTGTGTCTAATGGCGCTTTCCCACGGGGCTGCAGGTTCGACGTACATGTGGCAGAGTATACGACAAGGCTATCTAAATATCTAACTAGCTTACAAAATGTGAACCTGCACAAACTGTAAATATCTAAATATCTAACTAGCCTACAAACGGTTTGTCGTCGGTTACTACCAAAAATTAAAATCGTTTTTTCACAAAAATGCCTCAGGCGAAGTTATATTAATTTCTACACAAAAACAAATGTTGTCACTATGCTCTGCGTAGTCGATTACTTATATTCCATGGTATTTCGAGATTCCCAGAGATGTCTGCTCGGAGATAGACACGTGCTCGGGAAAAGCGAGCCCTGTCCGAATGACAACAGCTGGAGAGCCGGGACTTGCATACCTTTGTAGAGTAACGTCCGGACTCTCTACGCATGTAAGAAAGTTACTAACATTGTATGTTAGTTTTCTGGCGATGGAGATGCCTTTCCAAAGATCCAAAGAAACCCGATCTTCTAAACTTTTTCAAAAGTTGTTTCTGCTTCTGAAAGTTGCTCTCAAGTCTTGGCTATCGAACAGCGAAAACTGCAGATCTCTATCTCATTCTTATCAACAAAAGTTATTTAGAAACAGCCACACGCACTGTATTTTAGGATGGATAGTAGTTGTTCAGGAGAGAGGTAAAATAAATCTGTTTCGTACACGTTCTAAAAAATGATTCATATATTATGCTCCGGATCATGCGGGAGAATAGAGTCACTTGCTCGAATGCTCTCAGTAATTTAAAGATTATTTACCAGTTTCTATCGGAAACAAACTGCTATAAACCGTGATAACAGAATTAACAGTTCTCTCCGCTTAACTCGCGTGGGATAAAAGAGATCAGTCTGGATATAAGTCTTATAAACAACACATATTCTGGGGTCACACATTCTGATCGCAGGTCTCTATCTCATTCCTGTCAAAAGTTATTCAAAAAATGCCCACACGCACCGTATTTTGGGATGGATAGCAGTTGCTCTTGACACTTAATTTTCTATCGAAAAAGGAGCTCAATAAAGCTAGTTGCTATCGAATAGTACCATACGTTATGATATTTTTCTAACCATTGGTTCAGCTTTTACTTACTTACAAGTTTCTCAAAGATTTTTGCACTCAAATATTATGTCGCTAATCGCAACTCGAAGGAAAAATTTCCGATACCATGTAAACCGAACCACTGGTTACAAAAATATCGTGATATGCTCTACATAATCATCAGTTTGAAAATCTATAATTCGTTTTGAAAAATTTTGTTCCTTGTGCAACAAACAAAAAGTTGGTTTTGTTATGGGCTTTAGGTGATTCCAGAGCATTTTATGGTTCAATAGATGAATATAATATATATGATCCTACCCTTGATGGCAGTTCTAGTTTTATTGATCCAGTTTTTTGATAGAAAACGAAGTGACAAGAGTAACCAGCTGGAACGTCTATTACGGAGAAAAGCAATATTTAGGCGTCGGGATAGCGTCATTGTGTAAAGAAATGTCAAGTATAAATGATAAACTTGTCCGGATTTACAGGAAAATTAAAACTAACTATTCATACAAATGACGGCATTTGGGTCTTTCACATGTTTTTGTAAAACTATAAAACTCTTCTTTATGCCAGTCTACTTGACTTACCTTTTTATGTATCTAGTTTTTGATTAATATCTAGAAGTAAACGTTTGTACATGAACGTCAACAAGAAAAATAAAATCTTCCTTTCTGTCATCGTAACATCAATACATGAGAAAGCACAGGTGAATAGAACTATTTTTTTTTATTCTTTTCTTCCACAGATTAGTCATAGAGGAAAAAGGTTACACGTAGAAATATTTGCAGCTATGCGTCATGTATACAATGTGTCATTAACGATTTAGTGACACATTAACATATGATCGTTTCTATGATTCATTTAAATATGATCGTTTCATAGTGATGAGTTGGATGTATTTACATAATGCCACATTTTCGAAAAACTTTGACTTCTTGGGTATTTTCCAAGTACCTATCGTCACACATAGACCGTAACTCCGTTTGCTAAAAACTACTTTTTCTGTTTACGAGCAAACATTCCAGGTGCTTCACTCCGATTTCGTTCGTCCATATATCATTCGGTAGGAGACCTCGAGTATGTAAAAAGTCTAACAGGATTCGGGCTCTTGACTCGTGAAGACTCTTCTATAAGAGAAGTTCTAAAAAATAACAAAAACCTTCTCTTAGCGAGTCATGATTGTAGCCCGTAAATTTCTGATTAAAATGAGACAACTCCCAGCTCTACAAAACCTTTCTTTCCAAACTTATAGAATTTTCAAATTCAGTCTCCTACAGACGGATGTTGAACGAACGAAATCGGAGCGAGGCACCCGGGAATGTTTCCTTGTTAGAAATTATTAATTTTTTTAACATTTCAACTATTGTTCATATTTGAGCATTTCTATATGTCTCTTGCTAAGTCCTTGTGACAAATATGTTCAGGTTTTTGTTGGTTACTTGAAAATATAGAACAATCATTTTTAAAAAAGACTGTACGAGGAAACGGACAATGCTGTTAAAGTCGATAAAACCTTCGAAAAATAATTTCTTTTTAAGTACGATTTTCGTGATTTCCATCCAAAGTTATCCGTAAATCGAAATTTTTAGTTTTTGAAAACTTTTCAACGTTAAGAAAAATACTTCTCGCAAGAAAAAGGAAGCTAATTTTTCTAGTAAAACAATTATTATGAGAACAACTTCAATTGGCCCACAACAGTTTTTAAAACATCTTGTAGAGAATAAAATTCTCTACGAAATGCGCTATA